AAGAACATGAGACAAAGAGTTGCACATTGTCCTGCACACAGTGGCAACAAGGCCAAGTAATCATGGCTGTGCCTGCCTTAGGTCATCCCGAGCTCTGCAGGGGGATCTTACCCGTCATAGGCGAACCAGTCTTCCATACTTGCCTGTTTTGAATTTATTTCCTAATCTGCTTCTCCAGCTTCTGTCACATTGTGTTCTGTGTTTTCCCACGTGACACAAGTCACAGCATTGCCACTCACTGCGTCTGCTCTCAGTGGCGACGAGATCAAGAAATCGTGGCTGGCACCTGTCTTAGGTTGTCCAAAGGTTTTGCAGAGAGGATCTTACCGATCAAAGGTTAACCAGTCTTCCATACTCGACCCTTTCTGATGTGTGATATGACCTCTTGTTGTGATCATATCAACACCAGTGAAGCTTTAAGGAGAATCTGGAGCAAAATCAATACCCATGGCACTCAGGATTTTCCCTGGTGACCGCATTTACTCTCTTCAGAGCAAATATGAGTCAGGAACAAGGGTTAGAGCTACTAACCTTGGTTACATCAGGTTAGGTTAGGATGAATTAGGCTGGGTCAGGTGGTGTTAGGTTAGGACACTGCACAATGCCATTTCACCACTTAACTGAATTAAAGCCAACATGCATGGTGCTATCAAGTGGTTACAGGGTATTTTTAGGTGGTTGCTAATGTTTTTTTGTTTGTTTTGTTTTTTAGATATGTAAATTTGAATTAGTTTTTCAAATTTACAATGTTTCATCTCCCTCAGTTACTTTCTGCCACTACATCACTGCAGGGGTTTGTGGAGCAGCCTTCCTCAGCAAAGTCATGATGCCTTGCCCACTTTCTTGTCAGCCTTTCCTTCACTCTCATCAGTCATTCCTTCTTTTTAGCATTTCCCTGTGTCTTTTCCTCAGGACCGCAGCCACCTGAAACAAACAGCATATAAAAGGTTAAGTCTGGAGTCCAGGTGTACGCCTGCACACCTCCTGACAAGAAAGAGTCAGCAGACCCCATTTATGTTATTTGTAATGTTGCAAGTTGGTACAGAGTACATACTGGCCTGGTGTTGTATCGGGAACTGCCCATTGGTTCGACAGCCCATTGGTTCGACATCCCATTGTTCTGACCATATTAAACCCATTGTTCCGAAGTCCGTTCCAAAATCATCATGATGCCCTGTGGTTAAGGTCTGGTTAGGTTTAGGCACAAAAACCACTTGGTTAGGGTCAGGAAAAGATCATGGTGTGGGTTAAAATGAAAAAGAAAGTGACAAACACATAAGCTGTGAGTCTGCGCCGCCTCAAGCCGGTCGCGGCACACCATACGCCCGCCGCGAGCCGTTCAGCACCGCGGACAGTCGGACTAATGGGATGTCGAACCAATGGGCTGTCGAACCAATGACATGGACCCGTCGTATCACACAGTGAGATTTTTGGGTTAGCCAGCTATCTTTGAGCTTAACTGAGTGAAATCAATTTGTTCTCTATGATGATTATTTCAGTCACAGGAGGTATTTATGTGCCCACTCTAAGATTAAAACACAGCTTCTACAACACACGAACAGACCAATAATTGATGAGCATAGAAGCATTTTCATTGCTTTAAGTTTCCTGACAGTGTAAACCAACACATTCTCTCTCCAACCTTGTCACATATTGACGTTTGGTCATGGACTTTCCACATTCACAAAAGACGTGCAAGGTACCCTGGGTGTGTTGGTTGTTGATCTGGCACACTGTGTCTAGTTCTGCCTGTTACATGTATTGTCTTCTTTCAAAATAAACGCACTACGTCGGTACAACACCCCTTATTTTTCCTTGGTTGAGTTCAGGAAAAAAGAACAATGTTTGGCTCTACAATTTACGGGACACAAACACCGCTCTTGGGTGAAAGTCGGTGTTTGCTCACCAATTAACACATTGTACCTTGTTGGTTTCCTTAGTACAAGGAAGTAATAGGAACAACAATTTGAAATTGGTCCAGTACTGAGAGAGACCGCTGCAGCCAGCAGCAGCAAAACAGGCTGCAATGTAACCACTCAGGGCATCAATGTACGTCCACTAAAAGTTTTGCCACCAAAAGGCTCTAAGTGGTTGAAAACTTATGGAAAGCATCCTCAGAATTCCATTAGACTCTGTCAACTTTGTATGAAGTGTGTTTTACCATGATGAAATTACTGTTTATTTAACAGTGAACCTTTATTTCAGAGCTTTCAGTTGTTATATAATAGGACTATGTGAACACTGTGCAGTCAGTGGCAGAGGATGACAGTTCACACCTTCACAAGGTTAATCTTCAGTCAAGGCTAATGGATAAAATGAGAATACGTCCTAGGATAAGAAAACAGCCTTTCTGTGATAATAATCAGTGGAATTTTTTCATATTAGTCATGCCCCCAAACCAACATATTATTATTCCAGCCAGACATTAAACATATGTGAGTTCAGTCACATTTGAAGATGCAGGCAGATGCTTGATAATAGGTGAGAAATTATGCTCACATTTTTCGCCATACTAGCAGTGCGGCTGCAGGTAGTCTGTCAGTCCCCCACTTTGGTCCTGACTGAAATATTTCTACTATACTATTCAACTACAATTTTATTACATACTATTTTATATTCTCATAAAAGCAGCAAAATAGAGTATTTCTTGTGTGTCAGAGCCTGAGGGGGCAAAGCAGCAGAAAACCAGATGAAACTGCACTGAGCTCCTTCAAAATCTATTATTTTTAAGTAAGCTGTTTTTCTTCTGTTGTTCTCAAGGTTTAAGGTTGATTTACTGTCCACAGCACATGGTTGCACAACAAAATACAGTTGTACTCCCTTTGTGCTTCACAAGAAAGACAAAAAATAAGTATATATATGAAAAATATATTTTAAAAATGATCTCATCATCATGGTTGCTATAGTTCCTATCTATTTTAATTGTTAAACCTTGTACAACCTGGTTAAGTGACACTTCACTCAATCATTAATCATACACTGAACAAAAATTTCAACACTTTAAGTTAAAGATGTTTATAAAGACTGTATGCACTCATATTTCTGTCAAGTTTTGGTTCATATTTGTTCAAATCCATGTTAGTGAGCACTTCTCCTCTTCCAAACCAATCTAGCTGACAGGTGTAGCATATAAAGATGCTGATTAAACAGCCCTGGGATGGTCACAATAAAAGGTCACTCTGAAATGTGTGTGTTTATCACAACACAATGCTACAGGTGTTGCAAGTTTTGAGGGGGCGTGCTATTGGCATGTCCATTAGAGCTGTTGCCCATAAACTGAATGTTCATTTTATCACCATAAGCTGTCTCCACTTTCATTTCCGTGAGACCTCACAACCGCAGATCACGTGTAACCAACCACACCCGCTCATGACTTCCACATCCAGCATCTTCACCTGCAAGATCGTCGGAGACCAGCCACCCTAGCAGCTGATGCAACAATTGGTTTGCACAACTGAAGGATTTATGCACACACTGTCAGTAACCATCTCAGGGAAGCTCATCTCCATGCTCATCATCCTCATGTCTCGACCTGACAGCAGTTCATCATTGCAACCGACTTGTGTGGCCAGTTGGATGTATTGCCAAATTCAGGGAGACGACACTGAAGACGTGTTACGGTAGTGAAATGAGCATTCAGTTCACAGAGTTCAGCTCTGGTGGACATTCCTACAGTCAGCATGCTAATGGCACATTCCCTCAAAACTTGCAACACCTGTGATATTGTGTTAAGTGATCAAACTGCACATTTTAGAGTGGCCTTTTATTGTGACCACCCCTAGGCACACCTGTGTGGTAACGGTGCTGTTTAATCAGCATCTTGATATGCCACACCTGTCACGTGGATGGCAGGCCCTACAAATACCTGGGGGTCCTCCTGGATGAGAAGCTGGATTGGTCTTCTTACAATGACGCCCTCTACAGGAAGGAGCAGAGGGGCAGATGTCCTTTGGTGTGTGTGTGGAGATGTTGACCATGTTCTATCACACAGTGGTGGCCAGTGCACTCTTTTGTGTTGCACTGTGCTGGGGAGGCAGCTTGATGGACAAAAACACCAAGCTGGCTCAGTGCTCAGCAGGAGACTGGACCCACTAAGAGCTGTGGTGGAGAGGGGCACATTGAACAGCATACACCCTCTGCACAGCCTCCTGGAGCAACAGAGGAGCAGCTGCAGCAGTCGGCTCATCTCACTGCTTTGCAGAACGCAGCATTTCAGGAGATCCATCATCCCCACAACAATAAGACTGTTTAACACCTCCTGAATCCAGTGTGACGCCCCTCCCACTGTCTTGGGCAATGTTCCAGCCAGCCTCACCAGGCAGTTGGCTGATATGAGAGGGTTGTTACTTGATTAGGCTCACCTGGGCTTCCAAGCTATAAAAGCTGCATCAGGTGTTAAATGTTCTGTCCCTTTCTTCAGCTGACATCGGCTGAGCATCATTGGTTTTGGTTTGCACCTTCAGCACCTCCAGCGCACCTGACACACACCTGTGCATGGCTATCATAACTGACTTTGCTGACCTGCACACTCCATTGATTATTTAGGTTAATTTTAGTAGAATAAATTTGGCTTGTTTTAAGTAAATCTTTTGTGTGGACATCACATTAGCCACAACTGGACTGGACTGTGGAATGTTTTTGCAATTTTAATGTAATTTTAACTTGATTTTTAATTTCTATCTATGCACTTAATTTGACATATTTAATTTCATATCAATTTTAATACCACTGTATTACTGTTGGTGAGGGGAAGTGTGGTTGTTGTCTTTTATTAGCTGCTGGACAGTTGAATTTCCCTTCGGGGATTAATGAAGTTCTTTCTATTCTATTCTATTATCTTGGAAAAGTAGAAGTATCTATTGAGTGTATGTGAAGAAAAAACTTTAGATCTTTGACTTTATCCCCTGCGAAAATGTGAGCAAACGTGTTGCGTTTATATTTCTATTTGAGATGGAGAACAAAATGTTACAGCCTTTGTTTCTCCCCGGTTTATTTTCCAGGTGAGCCAACCGGAAGTCGTCGTTGTATTGAATAGCGGCGTAGTGCGAACGGATCCAAACACTTATCTTCCTCTCCTACCGTTGCTCTTGAGCTCTGTACATTTAGTCGAGTAAGTATAATCTGCATTTTAAAGCCATATGGACATTTAGAAACACATGTTTAGCTAAAAGAGCAGATTAAGGTACGGTTCGAGGAAACTTTAACTGGGCTAAGATAGCAGCTAGCTAGCTAACAACACGTTACTGTTAGCCAGAAAGCCGTCGAAAGCAACGTTAGTATGCTAAATGCTAACTGAGAAAGCGGCAGGAAGAAACTCGAAACCGGGGAGATATTTACTCGTATTTTTCAGTTATATTGAGCAAGTAACATGTCGTCCAACATATTAAGTCGGTGGTTTTAAAGTAAGCTGTTTATAACGTTACTTGTTTGTGTTAAAATGGTCTAACGTTACATGGCTGAAAGCGAGGGAGCTAATGTTATTTAACGTTACTTCACGATTATGTAGAGCACTTCACAGCCTCAAGCACCGACCGAGAAGTTAATTGTACAACGACTAAGCCAGATATATTGCAGTTTCTGTAACTAGATAGTTATATACTTGCTTATTTGGTCAAAATTCAGTCTGTCTGCATCTGTTTGAAGCATGTATTGAAATTGTGTTACCACTACTGTCTAGAGCCTGAGGGACTCTTAATCTGAGCGAGAATGACCGACAGATACAACATCCACAGTCAGCTGGAGCATCTCCAGTCTAAGTACATCGGCACAGGACACGCCGACACCAGCAAGTGGGAATGGCTGGTCAACCAACACAGAGACTCTTACTGCTCCTACATGGGACACTTTGATCTGCTGAACTACTTCTCCATCGCTGAGAACGAGAGCAAAGCGCGTGTCCGCTTCAACCTGATGGAGAAGATGCTTCAGCCGTGTGGACCCCCAGCAGACAAACCTGATGATGCCTAGATGACACTGGAGTGAGCCGTGGATGTGTTTTTATAGGATGTTTGTTTTATGTTGGACATTCAACTCTATTTTCGACTGAACATATTCAATACTGTGCTCTTTTGGATTTTCTGACGCTGAAATTGACCTTGTATGACCCTGCCAACTCTGAATGAATTGTCCGGTTACACAACAGGAGATAACCGGACACAGATTGTTACATCGTTTGCAGCCGGACCACTGAGAAACACTGTTTCCTGCTCTGTACAGCTCTGCAGCTGTTAGGGAAATTAGCAACAAAGATGAAAGAAAGGAGCGCAAGGAGGGCTTCAGGATATTAACATTTATCAGAAAAGATAATAGAAAACCAAGTGTTGAAGTGTCACCTGTAAAGAATTTGTATGAACTGCTGGAGCTGTATTCTTGATTGGAATTTCTGATTTGATTCAATTAAAATTAATGTGTTTCCATTTACAGTATAGTATTTTTTTAATCACAAGGTCAGCACCCACACTATGCAAGTTAAATATTAAACGCATACTGAACATTAAGACTTTTTTTAATATCATACCAAGTTGCTCAGTGCCTTTTTTTCCCCCATGTCTTTAAAAGAAATTGCACCAATTTGCTCAGGGTTCAAAGGTTTAGGTACTTGAAAGCAGCACAATTAAAGTGATCCCACTCCAGTTTTTCCTAAAGGTTAAAAATGGGGCTTAAAATTCTCACTCTGAGACTAAGAAACAATTTCTTGTTTTGGACCTTAAGAGCAGTGTGAAAGTCAACAGAATTTCACACTGCTCTTAAGGACCAAAACAAGAAAGGTCACATACATGCAAGTAAATGAAGCTCCGTTTTTTTGTTGATGTTTATATTTCACAATAAACCCAAGGTCAGCTTGGAAAATATAACCTGCAGGGTAGAACATCAGTAACCTCCAACATGGGCACAAAGCCTATCAGCTGTATGTATACACTGCACAGCGCTTTGTTTCCTTTGTTTGGCCTTGCAGATTCAACAGTGTTGTCCACCTACACAGTCTCTCACACATGCACCACACTCAGGCAGGCACACACACACACACACACACACACACACACACACACACACACATATATTGTACCCAATCATCCACCTACACATTGAGTGCACTCAGATCAGCTGTGTATGACTTAAACACACATCCTAACATGCTGTGCCTCGTTATGTGTGCTTGTCACATGTTTAACATGCTCTGTCGATTATAAGGAGAGCAGAATGTCACCCAAATCAAGGACAAAATCCAGAGAGTGTATTTTTTTTTGAAGAGGTGGCAGATTGTCATATTTGACTGGTCTGGTAGTTTAAATTTACATACCTGAAAAGCAAGTATTGCAATTAGTGTATTAAAGCAGTGGCACCGGTTTAGAAACTGCCACAAGCTCGTGGCTGACATGAGGAAAATTATTCTAGTGTTGAATTTGAATTAGTGCCTTTGATCAGGAGTGTCAGTTTAATATGCTACCAGCCATGAGAACATGTTTTTATAATGCAAATTGCCTGAGGGTGGATGAAGTAGAATAGATGTTTGAAGCTGCGGTCGGTACAGGCGTCTTGCTGCACTGAGCTGCACACCAGTCAGAGTGAGATGTGTGACCAGAGAAGAGCAGCAGGCGCTGAGGTTTGACTTGCTGACTTCAGGTGATTTATCGAAGCGTACTGCCAGCCAGACTCACACACACAAATACAGACACTTGGTGGGAGAGGATGCTGCATGAGTCATCGTTGGATTGAGAGACAAGTCAGCGGGTGCCAAGGAAGTTCTTGTGTTGCGCATCACGTCTGGGTGTGTGTGTGTTGGAGGGTTACTTAGTGGGGTAAGTCCTTGCCATCTGCTCTCACTGTGAGAGTCGTGAAGACGGCGCTGCCAAGTCAGGCGTGAAGGCAGCGTGAGGCCTGTTGGTGTGCTGTCACAAATAAAACACTCAAGAGCACATTAATAGATGTCTGCCCCTCAGTCTCCAGCGACATTAGCAGAGATGGACCCTCGCTTTTTGATGGGAGTAAAGCTCGCAGGTGGGTGTATGTTGATTATGCAGCTGTAACACCCACTCTGAAAGACACCTCTTATACACAGCCTTTTCATTTACATTGTCATCTCTAAAGAAAACAAGAAACACTGTGTTAATCTATGAAAGAAATCACCAGCAGATTGAAGAAAATACATGAATCAGCAGATCAGGGTGGCATCTCAGTCTCCAACACCTGCAGTTTTCACCATAGAGAAACGTTTGATCATCACAAGGTTGTTTATTTACCATGGTGACAAAGATGTGTTGGTATGTGAAATGCGTCCTTACTGTACCCGTATATATAAAATGTTGTATAAAGTGTTTTCCTACAGCAAAGGGAGAGTGCAGTGAAAGAGAAACAGCTTGTTCAGTTGTGTTGATTCCCTCTGGAGACCTTCACAGCAACTATAAATTCTATGCGCTGCCTGCCAACACACACACACACACACACTTTTACAGTCTCTTCTAGTGCACAGACATAAAACAGTTTTGCACGCTCATAATACGCATCCTACATTTGCAGTAAAAACAGTTTTCACTGAGTTGTGGAACTTAATGATCACGTATAAAATGAGGCGAGGAAAGGTATTGAACACCCACGAGGACCCCTAGCTGACAGTTGGACTCTAAATATTTCCAGAATAAAATGTGTGTTTTCTATAAGTGTACAACCAGAAAAATTTTATGCTTCAATTTCATTCCATGCCAGAAATAAAACTCGCACACAGCAGCTGTTGTGACATTCTGAGACAAAACTGGAAGCAGCAGAGATATAATTTGGCACCACACATGAAAACAAAATTGTCCTTGTGTATTTTCAGCTTAGTGCTCGTGGTAATTGTTGTGGGATATCTGTAATAAAAGACTCACAAACAAAAGTGGCTTTCTGAGTTTTATTACTACACTTGTAAGCGAGCACAGCCAAACTCTCGACAGAATGTCAGGCAGAAAGCTCAACTTCTCATTCTTCCAGTAGCTTTTTAATGTATTAGCTGTGATGGGGTCACTGTGACATGACTAACAGCACTGTCATCAAACTACACACATGGTCCACAGCTGAGTCTTTGTGTTTTTCTTAATAAGCCACCACACAGTACTGCCTTACTTGTTCAGCACTTCCTGACAGCTTCCTTTACTTGTTTGATGCCTCACTCCTGGAAAATGTGACCATGTAGAAAGAAATTGAGGTCATTCAAAGGTTAGAAGCTGTGTAAGGCTGCATTTTTCCCAGCACAGTAATGACGCAAATATAAAATTAGTTTTGATAACTGATTTCTGTCTATATACACCAGTCAGCCACTGCATTAAAACCACTGACAGGTGATATGAACATTATGTTACAATGCAGTGTTTTGCGGGAAAAACTTGGGTCCTGGCATTCGTGTAAACCGCTCAGGAATTTCCCGAGCAACATGACAAAGAGCTCAAGCTGCTAACCTTGCCTCCAAATCTCCCAGATTCCAATTACATCAAGCATCCGTGGGACGTGCCGGCACCTAACATCACATCCCACAGGACTCGGAGGATCTAGCTCCATCTCTCTTGCACCAGACACCACAGGTCCTGTGCCCTCAAAGGTCCTGTGTCCATGCCTCAACATGTCAGAGCCAAGTTTGATTCACAATGGGGCCTCTGACCTGTAGAGGCACGGACACAGGACCTCTGAGGGTATCCTGTGGTGTCTGGCACCAGGGCATTGGCACCAGATCCTTTGAGTCCTGTGGGTTGTGAGTTGGGATACCGGCACATCTCAGGGATGATTGATTGGATTGGATCTGGGGATCTGAAGGCCAGGCCGACGCCTTGAGCTCTTTGTCACCTTGCATGGGCCAGTCCTCAGCAGCGATCGGTGTATGAAGTATACCTACAATTGTGTGGAACGTGAGTGGAATGGAATTTATTTATTTATTTTTGTTACTATTTTATCACTATATATTACTTATTGTTATACACTGCATGTGCACCTGAATTTCGTTGCATGTTTGTGCAAAGACAGTAAAGAAATCTGAATCTGTTTTTGCGGAGTGGCATGGAGCATCGTCCTGCATTTATAGGGGCCACTGTCATCGGGGGAGTGTTGTTGTCACTGGGGAGATGTACTTGGTCTGTAACAGTGTTCGGGTGGGTGGAGCCTGACAGGACGCAAGGTTTCCCAGCAGAACATTGCATTGTGACGAGATGATCAATGTTGTGTATATATCCCATAACATTGTATTACTAATGGTAAAATGCTGCACTTGTATATCGCCTTTCTGGTCTTCCAACCACTCAAAGTGCTTTAACGCTATGTCACATTCACACATACATTCACATGCCATACATGGTGCCACCTGCTACTCAGTAACCATTCACACGAGCTCACACACCAATGGGGGTTCAGTATCTTACATAAGGATACTTCCACATGCTAACTGGAGGAGCTGGGGATCAATCCGCTGATCTCTCGATTAGTGGACGACCCACTCTACCTGAGCCACAGCAGCCCCACTTGCTCATATAGAGGATCACACCTGTGGAATATGTTCCCACGGACTGTAGGTCACTTCAGTCCAGACTGAAACATCACAACTATTGCTATAGCACTCAAGTTCCCCAGAGGATGAATCCTAATAGTGCCCCCCTGACTTTTCCTCTCAGCTGTGCTTTTAAGTAAAATGTCTCAACAACTATTGGATAGATGTCATGAAATTTGGTGCAGAAATTCAATTTGCAGTAAATAATCCTCTTGGATACACAGAAACTTTTTCTCACCTGCTGTTTTTCTAATATCCGGAGGTACTCGAGCTGAAAGCGACAGAGAAATAAGTTCAGCTCCATTTGAAGCAGTTAAACTCTATTAACTCTCCTCTGATAGTGAAGCTCGATCACACAGGTGCTGAGGTTAGTGACAAGAGGCCTGCTTGAACATCTCACAGCCCAACACCTACTGCATCGATCTCATCTCCCGTGGCATCTTGTTATCACCTCACCTCTTTTAACACATCGGATCCTGCAGTGTCTTGACAGTCATGGTGATTAATTATATTCCTTCACGTGACCGTTTAAAAGCTGGCGTTAGACTGGAAGCTGCAGTGGTGTGTTTGCATGTTTGCATGTTTAAATGGTACCTGACACAGTGAATGGCATCTTCTAATAGCCACTTGGCCTTTCTGTGTTCATGCTGATGTGCATGTTTCATTTGGCTGGTCGTCCACATGTGCGCTCTCCTCTGATTACACAGCACCTCAGCCAAACAGTGAAAAGATCCTGGAGGCACATTTACCCTTGTCAAATATGAACACTCCCACAATCCAATTATCTTTGCCCTTCTATGCCGCCCACCTGTTCTACCCATCTATCTTCATTAACCCTCCATTGTTCTCCTCTGCTAAACCCTTCGCTCTCGTCTTCTTTACTGCTTACACCCCCCCTCCTGCAAACCTCATCACTTAACTCCTTTTCTCCCACTCTCTGTACCTCCTTCCTTCCTCCATCTCTACAGCTCAGATGGGCTCACCAGTGGAGTGGAAACAGCCAAGATAAAACACACAAGTAATGACTCTTCAGCGGGGGGAAAAACACATGAATATTTTCTGTGAGGAACGTGGCGTCATTCTCTCTGACTAAAGGCAATCAGAAATGACAGCACTCAGAGGAGGAAAGCTAATGAATGCTGGATCTTTATGATAAAATGCTTAATGAGTTTTGTGCTGTGACAAATGCCAAATACCCCCCCCCCCCCCCCCAAACTTCTTACAGAGCAATTACCTTTTTCATGGCATTTCTGAGCACAGAAAATTAAAAGCTATCTTGGTTTTCGATTTTCTTTTCTACCCTGCTTTGTTAATCTTTTATAACCTTTTTTTTTTTTTTTTTGCAAAATGTGTGAGTAATTTGAGAAGTGGAATATGAACAGGAAGACTGTGTTATATAAACCCTCTAATAATCACACTTTTTTGTAACCTTGAGGGGTTTTAAACTGATGATTAATATCCACTCTTTTCCAGTTGAGTAGCAGACCTGTATTACAGTCGGGACCTCCAGGCAACACGCCAGGGACGAAACTGCCTCGCCATCCTGCCTGGGAAACTTCATTAACGTGGGGAATGTGTGAGAGTGAATGTGTGTGTGTGTGTGTGTGTGTGTGTGTGTGTGTGTGTGACTGAGTGTGTGTGTTTTACAGCCACTGTGACTCTAGGGGCTGAAAAGTGAAACTTCTTGGAGCAGACTGGTTGTTTAACACTTGGAAAAAGGAGCTCGTCTACATTTAAAGTTTACATTTAAAATTCAGGTCAGGAAAACATGGCCGAGGTGAATGCTAATGTAAAGTTTAAGATAAAGGTGAGGATTTAGGGAGCAAGTGTGGCCAGGTTAGAGAAGTGTGTGTGAGTGTGTGAGATAGAGAGAGCAGGAGTTTTATGATCACTGTGGTCCAGGAGGCATCTTCCAAGTATACCAGTTGCTAAGTTATCTTGCTGTCCTCCTTTGCTCTATAAACCTGATTAACACCACTGTCAGGATAATATATATAGCTATTGAGCAAGGGAGCTTCAACGTCGACATTCCAAGCAAATCAAAAACTTTAATTCACACCTTTCCTGTCGCTGAGGTCACTCTGTAGCACAACACCTCCGGTGAAATCAGTTCCAAAGCCAGCAGAGAAGACTTTTAAAGTTAAAGCCCCGCTGGTGATTGACGTCTTTGATTGTCTCTCATTTCCTATACCGTCTCTGTCTTTCCAATCTCTTTCTGATTCTCCTCCTCCCTTGTCTCCTTCAATCTCAAGCTCTTATTTCCTCGTCCTCTTCTTCAGAACCGACTCCATTACGCCCACATCCTCTTTAAAAGCTCGCCGGCTCGTACTCTGGGTGAGGCTGAATTGATAGGGCCGATACTTTACTTTAATGGTCATTCACACACATTCACATCCTCTGATATGTTCGCAACACATGCATTAGGATATGATGCCCTCGAGACCACCAGATTCTATGTGCAAGCGAGCATGAGATCAATACAAGACAAGCAAGCAGCCTGCACGGAGCTTCACGTTCATTTGGAATATTCATCGGAAATCCATTTGGCAAAATGTAGTTTTAATGGAACGGCAGGATAATGGGGTTCAACCCTCCGTCCCATTTGTCACATTGTGTTTGCAAATTGGAGGCTGAAGATGCATTTGCATTTTGACTCCCTGTTTGGGAAGCAGCTATTACAGTTAGTGGAGTCGTGTTGTTTTACATTTGTCAAATTAAATTGATGTGTCTCACAACATGCAGAGGATTTGATCAGACTAAGTTATTTGCATTTGGTTTTATTTGTTGACAACTGAGGAGGGAAAAAGACGGGACAGGAGATTACCAAATTAGTCAGAGGCGATGCTCTTATTTTAATTTATAGTGTTATTGAATACATAACTTCTGTCACATCAGTGTGGACTTGACAAAAAGAGAGACGGACTAGACATCATAGATTCAAGAGTCTACAGCCATGCAGTGAGGCTCTGTTAGGCTGTATGTAGACACACTAGTGCTTTGAGCTAAATGCTAATGTGTGCTTACAGTGACAATGTTCAGCAGGTTTAAAATGCTCATCATAGTTTCATGACAACATTTGTCATAAGGAGGCACTGGAGTCTATCCCAGCTGACATTGGACAAGAGGTGGGGCACACCCTGGACAGGTATCACAGGGCTAACAGAGACAGACAACCATCCACACTCACATTCACACCTACGGCCAATTTAGAGTCACCAATTAACCTGCATGTCTTTGGGCTGTGGGAGGAAGCTGGAGTACCCGGAGAAAACCCACAGTGACACAGGGAGAACATGCAAACTCTGCACAGAAGGGCTCCCCCTCAAATCCCCCACCTTGGCTTCGAACCCTACCTGTGAAGCGACAATACTAACCACTGCACCACCATGCCACCCATTTGTCAATTTGCAGAAAACACAGAGCACAGATGAGGCTGATGGGAAAGTCTTGCAGGTATTTAGTCATAAATCAAGGGCTTGAACAAATAAATAATTTGACCTGATGGTGCCGCTTGAGGAAGTCTTCAGGTTCAATACATCTCTATGGGGAGATGAATGTCTGAACCAAATTTCATTGCAATCCATTTAATAGTTGAGACATTTCAGTCAAGTCACGGTCATGTGTATCATATCACTGTTTCTACAGTGATGTAGTATATGGGCTCAATTTGTCATGGGGAGGTGGAGGAGATGGTGGATTGTGCGACACCAAGGCAGACCACTGTTCAAGACCAACAAAGAACAAAATCAGGTGTTTTTTTTTTTTTTTTTTAGCTTTTTTAGCCCTCAAACGTGGGTGTTTTGTCACAACCTATTGCTGTTTTTCCACCAGGGACAGTGCCATGAAAAGCGCTTGTTTTTTACAATGACATTGCTACAACAGAGTGATTAAGTTAGCTCTGATCTATGGACTATGAAGCTAACTAGCCTATGCAACAGGTGAAGATTGCCTTTCAATAGTAGGTGGATCCACCTGATGCAGACATCATGATCACCAACCAATCAGGATTGGCATAATGAGAAAAATGTTTCTGAGGAATACGCAGGGAGGCATATCCCTTAGTGAGAAATCAAAATGAATGCCATAAATGAGAACTGTTTTCAGCAGCTTTTTAGCCCCCAACTGTTCTGTAGCAACCCGGTGGTGTTTTTCCAGCCTGGATTGTGCCAAGAAAAGCAGATGTTTTTTACAGAGACATTGCTGCTTTTCCACTGGGGATTATGCCAACACAACCAGGTATTTGAAATCAAAAAAATTTTTCCTAACCCTAAACAGTTGTTTTTTTTTGTGCCTACACCCAACCACGTTAACCACAGGGCTGTTGAAATGTAAAAAAAAAAAAAACCCTATAAGTTAGGACATATTTTTTACACAATCACATACAAATGAAACATATCTGTGGTTTGCAGAAAAATGCAATGCCAACTTTTTTTTCTTTTTTTGACTCAAAAGCACAGATGTAGTTGGCACTGAGGAACAGCTCAGAGGATCATCGCAGTCCTTAGGATTCATCCTCGGGGCACATTAAATGTCTGTAAAATGTTATAAAGATATTTCTGTCTGGACCAGATAGGTCGATCGACTGACGGAGCCATGGTCTCTTGAGCCACGCTGCTATCTTGGCTGATAAAAACACATATGTAATTTCACTTTAGGCAGACTCGCTTGTCCTTTTGTGACCCGAGCAGAAACTCAATGAGAGCCAGAAGGCACCGTGAGGTTCAGTGCAGATATCTCAGAGTAATTACGCTGTCATCCGTGACAATTATTCAAATTCAGGGCACACGGAAAGTGAAGAAAAAAGCTGAGTTAAAGGCTTTCTTTATTAAATAAAAAAAAAATCCAATATCCTATAAAGCCTTAATTGGCACTAATTGCTACACTTACGGGTTTCCAGGCTGTAAATTTGTCTGGGAGTCATCCTTGTGTCACTAGGAATAAAAACAAAAAATTGGCACAGTTTTTAAGTATTTCAGAAAATCTGCAAGGAATGATGTAATGTATTTAAAAATAAAACCCTACAGAGACTAAGTGTCTTTCCATTTTATGTCTCTGAATAGTGAATGAGGAAACATGGCCTTCAAGGACTCTGAAATCTGCCACCTAAAACCAGCTCTGAGCAGCGCAGCCAGCAATAATACAATGACAGAAAAGAGAGAAGGGGGATCAGTGAAATTTCACTTTTTCTTACATGCCTGTTAAGCCGTTGCAAATGCATTTCCTGGATCTATGAAAAGAAAAGTCAGTAGTATGAGTGGGTAAATGCTCATGTCCATAATTCAGTAATTAGAGTAATGCTGATCACATGACAAGAAAAACAAGGTCACAAAAATGATGTTTTCCCATCATTCTTTATATACAAAAACAATATACACAGTTTGGACATAACAGTAGCTGATATATGACATCATCCTATGACTTCAGAGATCAATTAAAAAAAAAATCAATGCATTTCAGTGACTGTAAATGCAAAGTTGGAGGGTTTATAGTGTGACTGACACTTGTGAATCCCCAGTAAATCCCAGTATCTTACTGTGAATTTAACATGATCAAGAAAAGGCAAAATAACGGAGATGTAAGCTCTTGGTCAACAACAGCAGCAGCAGCAGTCTGACTGTGGCTTTCTGATTTGGGGGGATTTGGTTTGTGTGTGATAAAGGAAGCACCATTACAACTGCAGACTTCCTCAAATGTAAACATTTTCATGAACTGGTGGAAGCCTCCAGTACTGCAAATTTAACAGCAGCAGCTGCGAATAGTTAAGTGTCAAAGTGTCCATTTTTAATGTTTAAAGAAATATATGTATCTTTAATTTCACGTATTCCATGTTATAGGTGATGTAAAGAAATGTGGGGTGTGTTACAACTTTTCTTTGGGTCTCAGGAGGTTTATCGTGTTGATGTTACAGTTCCACACAAGATGAGATGAAACAGACTGCAGCCATTAAAGTTTTTACAGGACGCGCTCCTTGTGATTAATACTGACTGGCAACACAAACTGTCAAGGCTCTACCAAACTCTCAACTGCTTTGTCCAGATGTTTAATCAGTTTCTGGATTAAAATATGTAAAGATGTGTTTATGCATCAGTGTTGCAGAAAAGAAAAAAAATGTGGTGACAGAGACCAGAATTAAGCTAGTAGTTTCATTATAAAATCACCTGTGCTTTAAAAGTAAGATTTCTAAAGCTTCTTAATTTCAACCTTTCTAGTCATTTATTTATAAGCAGTATACAAACACTTTATTAATGGTTTGTACCACACTATAATGTAGCTGTAAGCAAATATAAAGACATTTTTGAAGTGTGTATTAATGTATTTTGTCATTGATTATAACTTATCCGATCCATCCAGCAGCTACGCAGTAATGTTATCATTCAACTGGAGTCGAGTTTCGGCCCAACTGGAACATGTATCCAATCTGATATTCACTATTTTAACTCTGCTTTTAGTTTCCATCACTTCCTGAACGATGTTTTTGGCTCTTTGGCTGCCAAATGCTCCCCTCTCTTCAAAATGTAGCAGAAAGTTTAAGTCAGGTGTCACTGCAGGAAAAGAGGGTGCAACAAGATGATATCATTTAAAATAGAGACAGTCACAACTCAAACAAAGGGAAACAATGGATGTATAATATGAAGAACACACTGGGCTGTGGAAATAGAGGGATTTTAACAACTAATATTACAGCTTTGTGCTCTTGGAAGCCCTGTGTGCATATGTAAGCATGTTAAAAGCCATCCAGAGATGACAAATAGAGCCTGCAGTGGCCTACGCAATGACACAACGTCATGACTCTACATCATCATTTACTTCCTGAATCTCTTTCCATTGTACTGCAGCCACTTTAAAGGTCTTTAAATGCCACTGCAGTGTTTCCATTTAACTTTTATCAATGCAACAACTTTTCCACCTCCCCCCAACACAAAATTATTTTAGGATATTTAAAAAAATGTTTAAAGTTTTGGTGTTTCCACTCAGGTTTCTTTATGCACATATTGTAACTGCACAAAAAGACAGAAGGATGGAAACATACCTTGTATCTGACTGGTGTTTGGTGCTGAGAACGCAGTGAAACAGAGGGTTTTTAGAGTGTTTTGACTGAAAACACCTGCCTCCTGCAGCTGAAAACAACTCTACGAGAGCAGTGAAACTAAATGGAAACAGTAAAGTTGCACACTCAGCAGCGAAACCATGAGGTGAAACTCACTATTAAGCTCTGTAAAGCCGAGGGGAGCTGCAGAATCAGGTGATGATTCTCTGTAGGATCACTATGAGCAACTCCTGTCGCATTGCCACACTGTTTTCACATATTGTTTCTTAATAAATTAGAACAAAAATACAGGTTATAGCTGCTTTAAATGTCTTTAAATGTCATCTGCTTACACCTGCATAGCCATTTACCATCTTCACTGACTATACTGCTTATAAAATGCAAAAAGGACATTTTTCCATTTTATGCTGTAGAGATTAACTTGTCTTTTTTACAGAGATGAAAGCAGCATATTAATGAGTACTCAGCCATGATGGGATCAAATCTGTTCCACCTGGTGAGACTTTTAATTTGTGCATCTAAAATTTTTATTACAGTATTTGCTGCATTATGTTCTCTTTTATAGAAGCACATTTTCCATTACATGGACTCATATTTACTTACTATTAAAATGCAGCTAGACTTAATACTGTGCTTAAACTCATGTAGTTTAAATTTCAAGTCACATCCTGTTTGTTTTTTTCTACTTTGTGCAAGCTGACCAACGGCCATCTGAAGATATAAATCAAAAGCGACGTCCAGAAAGGATTATAAACTGCTTTTAAACTTAGTCTCCATCCATGAAATACCTGCTGCGTCGCACCTGCTGACTTCAGTTAGAGTGAAGGTGGAAGCGAATATGAAATAAGCAGTGTGTGTAATGTAATGGTCTGTTTAGGAAACAGGTAGGTTTGGTAAAGACGTGACAGTTATTTAACAAACTGTGCTTGGTATGATAAACAGCACTGAACTCCTCATTTCATTATTATTTTCTGGGGATGATAAAAAAAAATAAGACGACTAAAATCAGAGCTTAAAACATTCACATCAAAGTTCTACTGTATCATACTTGTAGTAAAATTGATTTCAATGTATGCACATGCTTGATATACATTATGTACAAAATAATCATTATATATAACAACATAGACATTGACATGAATGAATACTGTTGGTTCTTTTCCATCGCTGTACACCATTTCAACCTCCGCACATTCAGAAGCAGAGAGAAGAAATCAGTCCTTTTTTGGATACTATTTTGTACGAGTGACGACTGTTGTGGAGGTCTATTGTGAGCACACAAGCCTTTGGACGTCAGCAAGCTCAATCTGTCAGTAACTTTTCAGCCCGAATTTCCTTCGTAGTGCTGGGAGGGAAAAAACATTTTTGTTTGGTATTTCTATGAACATCCGCGGCAATGACTGAGCCATCATGGTGTTTTATTCTCTCCCAGCTTCTAAAATATTTCTGATGGCGAGTTATAGTTTCAGGTTCTCTGTCTGCTTTCATGTCCTTTCACATTTCACCTTTGACTTATCTGAGCTTTCTTATCATTACTGAATGATCCCCTTTACATCTTGCATTAACATACATCTTGAGTATCTGGAGCATGTTGAGGCAGAAAATCTATAGATGCACCGAGGTGAATCCAAATCACCTCAGCCATGTCGCCAACAAACTATAAATCAACACACACTGAGGATCTGTGTATCTGCGCATTTAAACAAAGGGAAATCCCTTTGAGTGTAATCAAGTTGTTGTGCAGCTGACTGTGTTCTCCATTTGTATTTAATCTCCTTACAATGAAATTTAATTCAGACTTATGAAAGTCTAAACATCTTGCCAAGAGTGCACAAAATCCAAATTTAATCTCAAAGAGTACTGGAATATAAAAAATGTATAACCTCCTGTGTTCCTGCTCAGGGCTGGGACACATGCTGCATCTTTTGCTTTCTGGAAAACGCAAGGTCGGGTGCTGGGTGTTACTCTTGTGCCTACTCTGTGCCAACTTTCAAGGCACTGTAGCAGGTTGCGCCTGATGTTGCTAAGCGACCATAACCAGCACTGCATCATAGCCTACTAGACATCCTGAGTTCAGAGCTGATCTTCTTCCAGACATTTTGTTTTTCAAGTATATATGAAGCATTACATGTCATCCATGGGACAGATGTAAAGCTCTGGGTAGACCTGCGCTAAAATAATCAACTTCTACTCCATATCTATCATTAAAGGAGGAAGGGCAGATATCTACCAGCTGTGATTGGTTGTTCCCCATCACATGACATGCTGTGCACATTGCTGCATTCCCAAAGTTGAACTTAATTTATCACAGGGTGTCGCTCTTACTTTTGACTTTCTGCCTTCTGCAAATCTACATTGAAAACAATGGATTTAAGGGTGCAAAACATGCAGCATGTGTACGAGCCCTTATTAGATTACTATAACACATACTCATATTTTAGTTTTGCCTTCTATGTGATGTAAAAGAAATAGTTCGACATTTTGGGAAAAGCTCTTATTCACATTTTTGCCTGGACTAAGGTGAGAGGATCGACACCGCTCTGATCTCTGTGCCCTACTTAGGAAGCTACAACCAGCAGGTGATTAGCTTAGCTTAGCATAAAGACTGGATACAAAGGAAACAGCTAGGGTTAAAAAACCCAAAAAACAAACAAAAAAAAAAAAAAACAAATGTGAAGAGCCAGGTGACCTGTTTCCTCCTGCTCCCAGTGTTTATGCTAAACTAAGTGAATCACCTGCTGGGGGTATCAAGTCTGTGCACTTTTAATGAAGCTACAACTAGCTTAGAATAAAGACTGAAGACGGGAACAAGAAAAACAGCTAGCCTCAGTTAAAACGTTAAAAAAAAAGTCTACCATCACCCCTTAATAAACAACTTGTCTTTTTAATGTGTGCAAAAACCAAAATATGAAAAGCCAGGCTAGCTGTTTGCCCCTGCTCCCAGTGTTTATGCTAAGCTAAGCTAATCACCTGCTGGCTAACACTCAGCCAGAATGTGAATAAATGCATTTCAGCACTGCAGCTAATGATTATGTTGACTGTTAATTATTTTCTTTATACCTGAATAATTGATTCATCTATTAAAAGTCAGAAAATAATGAAAAATGTCTGTTATCACTTCCCATAGCTGACATATTCAAATATGATTCATATTGCTTGTTTTATTTGACCACTCAAAATCTTGAAAGATTTAAATTCAACTTCATATATGATAAAAAAGACAATCAATTGCTGCCTGTTTGTCACATTTTTGGCCTTTTGCTTTAAAAAAAAAAAGAATGAAATGATAAACTGATTATGAAAACAGTGGCTGATTAAGTTTTTGTTCATCAACTAATTGTTTCAGCCCCAGTGCTTTCCCCAAAAAGTTGAGCAGTTCCTTTAAATTTTCAGGATCAAAGAGAAAACTGTATAAAACCGTATGTTGATAAAACCAGATCATAACCACTGGATTCAAGGTGCATGTTAGGGCAAGGTGTGAAAGGACCACTTGTCAGCATATCTATCACAGGCTGCAGACGGATGAAATTGCAAAAGCACGTTCACGAAAATGGAAAAATAAAGTACTTCTCCACTTCTTCGAGAGGCCTGTTGATTGCTTTAGTGCTGGAACTCTCACTGCCTGTTCTCTATTTATAAAACCACCATCGGGAGTCCGCCAGACAATATCAAAACTTTCAAATAAGAAAACCAGCATACAATCAAATACCTGCTTTTTCTTTGGCAACAAGTCACTCCGAGTGAGCGCTTCAGCAAAAAGCCTAACATGAAAAACTGTCAGATCCTCTAAACAGCAAGTCCAGCACTTTGTGATCAGAGGTTTGCACTAAATAACTCAGCACAAGATATATGACGGTGCATGATCACCGTGTATCATCAGGATGAGTGCTGAGAGATTAGAACTGGCTGGAATTGGGAGTGATTTCCATTGCACTTCACTATCAGAGCCTCAGGTGCCCACCGATCCCTCAGCTTCAGTAGTTATAAATATAACACTCGCAGATTGCTCTTCATCTACATACACATCTTCATCCTCACAGTCGATAACTCTTATGATATAATGCCCTCTAGTGGCAATATACTTTTAATATGTCTAAAAATGAACCGCAGTATTTCAGATTCAGCTCCGAGAGGCACATCGGAGCAGAACAAACTGCCTCTCCTCCCCTCTGATCTATGACATAGGCACTGACAACAGCACTCAACCATCCAATCACTCCCACTTCCTGTTCTGGGAGGATGCCCATATATGGCCATTTGGCTGTATGACCAGACATACCTTGGCAAGTATACAAACTCTGTAGTACAACTGAGCCACATTCACTACTAAGAGGGTAACTCTGCCAATGTTTCCTCCCTGGAACCTCTCGTGACATGGCCTGAAGTGAACCACAACAAAGACACAACATCATATACCCGCAGGTTCTGGTCATATACATAATAAATAATCTAATCAGAGCGCTAGACACACCACTGTTCTGACTATAGATATGTGCAAATGCTTCACTGGTGTCCATGGATGGCCAAAAGGCCTTAAGGCACACCTGTAGCTGTCACTATAGACAGACATAAGTCATACATCATCAGGAGCGGGAGGATCCCAAAGCAAGTGGACTGAGCTGTGTACTGAGGGTCGGGGAGGGCTGTGGGAGACTGCTGGGAGCTGCGGACCGGAGAGCTTGTGGTGCTGACGTCCAGCTGGCAGTGAGAGCTGGCGCTTAGGGCCGATGGAATCTGGAAACACAGACACACCAGCTTAGTTTATGAAAATACAACACACGTACACAGTGTAATGGAAAATCTACAAATCAGTTATTAGGAATCACTTTTTTGGCTCTACTTTAAATGCTGTCACTGCAGAGCAAAGATATACAAGCAAACAGTGTAGTTTAGGGTCACATGGATTGCAATCAACTTGTTTGAACAATTTAAAGGAGCAGTTCACCCCCAAGTCTGAAATACATACAGTATCTTTCCTCTAACCTGTGGTGCTACTTCTCAATCTAGACTGTTTTGATGTGAGTTGAAGAATGTTGGAGAGATCAGCCATAGAGATGTCTGCCTTCTCTTGAATATAATGGAGTTAGATGGCTTGTGTAGCTCGAAGCACCCCCCCCCCCCCCCCCCCCCCCCCCCCCCCCCCCCCCCCCCCCCCCCCCCCCCCCCCATTTTCTTTCGACTGAGCTACAACCGCCAATGGTATCACTGTGCAGACGGAAACTTATGGACTAGAGGCTTGTCGTCATGACAGCTCAAGATGTAAACATTAATGGCATCCTTCTCGGCTGAGCTGTAACATTAGTTAGCTCTGTGGTGCGAGGTAAGCTAGCAGTAGATGCACTCTTCCTTCGGCGGATGGATGACACGGTTGGCGGGTGTAGTTCAGTATAAGGGAAATAGTTCCAACACCAAACAGCTCTGTGGATTATCTTGAGCAACCAGGTCATGATTTCTGGACAGAGACATCGATGTTGAGTTTTTCAAATGTAATTTTTTGGCACTTTGAGCACCACAAGCTGAGTGACATCCAGTTCCATTATGTTCAAGAGAAGGCAGACGTCTCTACGGCAGAAATCTCTAATACTCTGCAAATCGCACAAAAATCTAGAGCAGTGGTTCCCGACTGGCCCAGGCACGGGGTCCAGATTCTGCCTTAGTCATTAGTTCAAGGTCCACGCAGTTTAATACATTCAGCGTCGTACTTGTGTTTGGCCATGTCATTGAGCTAGTTTGCTGTCTCTGTCAAGTAGCTGTCTGTTAGTCATTCACTCTACAGTAGAAAACGGCACTTCAAAATAAAAGCTCTGTGCTGGAAATTGACTGTACATAAAAATAAAGTGTGTTTTTTTTTACAAACTTGACGTGTTTGCAAGTCACTTGCGGTCCATTCAGACTGGACACGCGACCCTTTCAGTTGGGAACCACTGATCTAGAGGTTGAATAGCACTACAGCTATTTTGGATTTTGGGGTGAGCTGTCTCTTTTTAGTGACCGACCTAAATCACATCCAAAAGTAAAATCCTTTTTAGCAGATGCTTAATAGCGTGCAATATTCACGGCACAATTAGACTCTGCATTTTATAATCCAGTAATAAATTCAATGATCTATTGCTGCTATGTTTTGATCCAATATGGATTTTTACCAGGCAACAAAACACTCCTCAAACAGCTGCCCTTCAAAAATGAATTTATAGTTACCTTGAGCCACAGCCAATGCTTTAGGGAAAGAAAATGGTTTGGTGTAATGATGTATGATGAATGAATCATAAAGATTTATGACCTATGGTTTTTGATTAATTAGGACTCATGTGCTCCTAATGCAGCTCGACTTGGCAAAAGACAAATAATGAGAAACTTCAATCCAATGTTTTTAACTGATATTGGTCAAATATGCAGTTGTTTAGGAAATATATATTAATTAAAATATGTATAGTTTTTTACTGGTGGACTCAATCTGTCTGATCTCTGCACAGCGATACAATATAAAACCATGTCACACAGATCTAATAACACATGAGAGAGTGAATCTGAACTTTATTGGCGATCAATGTCTGAGGATAATGAACTGGGGTCGACCCAGGTGGACATCATGACTTTAATGTGGTTAGTGGGAATGGCTTTGGAGGATCAGTGTAATATAAATATTGATCAGAGTAAGCTAATAAGCTGCAGGATTTACGGGGATAAATTACTAATGAGGCGTGAGTTATCGTCAGAGTCGGCTAAATGGTGAAGGTCATCGACCACTCGAGTACCTGGTGAACTGTTTGCTGTCTTCATGAACCTCCATCTCTCGGCTCTTAAACTCATTCAGCTCCTTACGGATAGCAGCCTGAGGGACAAAACACACACACGCACGCACACACACGCGCACGCACACACACGCGCACGCACGCACACACACACACACACACACACACACACACACACAAGATGATAAATGCACTTAGCAGGACAAGGTTACCTGTTCCCCCAGCACACACAACAACAAAACACAGCTATTGCGCAGCTGTGTTTTCCACTCTCATCACATCCTGTCTGTGGCCTCTCTTTTGGACTACTTGAGCTAATGCACTCGGTCTATAAATCTGCACAGCTGCAAACTTTGCTTCAGGGAAAAATCCACAATTCACAGTGTAATGTTGAAATGCTGACAGGCCAAAATTTAAGAAAAGGGCTGGCAAGACCAACATGCACATGAACACGTACATAGCAGCAAATGTGCTTTCTTCTCTGTTCTCTTAGGGCAGGATTAACTCAAACAAACTGTTAAACCCTTAAACTAAATTAAACATGAAAATTGGGCCTTGCATTTGACTAGGGATGTTCTTAACAACTAATATGTGTGACTCTTCAACAAAATATATACATCAAAAGATATATTAATATGTGTTTTTTTAATATATACACATATAAAATAGAATTGACTTTAATTTACAAATAAAACAAAATAAATATAAATCAAGTTTAACCAACTAGTATTTCTGGTGCATACTAGCAAGGGTAACAACTTTTAAACAATTTATCCTGCACATCCTTGTCTTTGACTGGCCTCAGAAAACCCTCTGTCACAGGTAATTTTTAATTTTTCTTCATACATAATTTGCTCCACCCTCCTGGCACTTCTACTGGATATGCAGGTGATGCAAATTAAGGATTTATGATGGACATCTGTGATTTCTGTATGTGGTGTAGTTCTAAACATCACCAGCAGAGGGCAGGCTTGACATAGAAACTTCCCTTAAGCACACCCTTAGGGTCTTTCTCCTTCTCTGAGGAGTTGTAAAGACATAGAGGACAGTAGACAGTAGTTTTTACAGTAGATCGGACACGTGTATCATCTCACTTCTTGCAGGACAAGCAAAACAAATTTAATCTGCTTAACATAAAGTGTAACATACTTTATGCAGTCAAAAGTATTAAGTGTTCCTCTGTGCACCAAGCAAGGTCCACAAGAATATGTTTTTGTGAGTTTGATGTGGAAGATCTCAATCATCCTGCACAGAGCCCTGGCATCAACTCCATCCAACACCTCTGAGATGAACTGGAACATCAAGCCAGATCTCATCACCCAACTTCACTAATGCTCTTGTGGCTGAGTGGGAGCCAATCCCTGCAGCCAACAGTTTGTGGACAACTTCCACAGCAGAGTGGAGGCTGTTATAGCATCAGATGAACGCCTGCCCAAGGCTTTGGAATTAAATATTAAACAATCACATATGGGTCCATATACTTTTACCAGCGTTGATATCCTTTAACCACCTGTAGTTCACCTGCACTGTTACAAACTGGCAGCAGGGTGATGAGCTGATTAGATAATAAAGAAATGAATGATTTGCAATGAAACTTAGTGGCTGTGGTACCTTATCAGCGGGAGTAAGCCGTGTCCAGGGTTTGTCTGCCCGCCGGTCATAATCCTTGGCGTCCGTTACCTCCACGTACTCATTAAAACGCAGGATCCTGCGAGCGACAAGCTCTGCCACCGTAGGCCTCACACTCAGCTACACACACACCCACAGAAATAGGGAGAGAAATTAGAAAATTACAGATTCAAAAATGGTCTTCCCACTGTTTTTCTTTTTTGTTTTAAGCCATATTAAAGCTTAATGACTATACATGACTATGTGCTTATGTTTAATTTTATCATTGTATCCTCTATTGATTATTTAAAAGGTTTCTGGGAAGTAAAAGTTATTAATGACCAGACAAGCATCAGTTCCATCTATGTCCACTAGATGGGCTGATCTCCCCACTCAAAGCAGTTTCCTGCCTCCTAACGTGACTCATGAGGTGGAGCAAAACATATTAGCACCTAAATATAGACTCACTGTGTCTTCTCTCTTCTTGCTTATGTGTGTGTGTGTGTGTGTGTGTGTTTGGTGTTTACAGTACCTTTCTGGAGAGTCTCCTTTTAATCTCTTGCTTGGCTTCTTGCTCCTCTGCCTCATTCTTCTCTGCATGCACAAAACAAACAGTCGTATCACACCTACTGTGTCTGCAACAAGCTTCTACTTCTATTTATAACAGCAAGAAGTGAATTGCCATATTACAGCGTGTCCACGGCTGTGAAGCTGTGTTATTTCCTTTACATAAGCAGCAGCTAAAGGGGGAACTATGTCTTTTGATTTCATCTGGAGACAGACTGAATCATGTGAGTTGAATCTGTAACGCATTCTCTCTCCCACAGCGTCTTCATGGATGTATAATATGTATACTGTATGTCTGTGAAGGCAACACGTGGCTGACTTGGCCTGGAGAGATGGTAAACTCCTCGACCTCTATTGGCTCCATTTGAGATTGAAATAGAAACAAGTCACCTAACGCTTCTTTCCCATAATCAGAACAACTGTGTGGAGGTACTTTTTTCTTTGTGTCTCTTCCTGAGGGAGAAGTCACACAATAAATCTCCGCTGCTTTGATCTTCATGTGTACACATCGAAGGCTGGCTTTGTTTCTCCTGTGTTAGGACCACACCGAGGCTGCGTGTTACACTGTCGGGCCCAGGTTTTATAATGGTCAATAGGGCTCAGGTTGGGTCCCACTCTGTTACTGCTGGTCCCGGGTTTAATTATCATTAAGTGTAGGCTAATGCCTGAGTGGATCTGATAGGACATGTTATCAGCGCTGATCAAGAGAGACGTATAAGCGCCGTGTGTCTAGCTTGTGACGATTATGCTGACTCTTGATTACAAGAGTCAAAGTAAGGTGGAAAAAAACACTGAGCAGCAGTGTCAGCCCTCAATATTCACAATGTGGATTTATTTTATTAACAAACGTTTTCTTGTTATTGGTTGATCCCTATGGACTAAAGGAGTGTAAATAATCGAGGAACGGGCACATATTGAGTCTTAGTAACAACTTCAAACGTTTGGAGTCACCACTTTTTTTTATTCGTCTCTCTTGGTAACCATGCTGATAAATCTGAATTTATTAGGGCTTATTTTGGCACTCATAGTTTCCGTAACATGAACTGAATGATTGAATTGTGGAGAATCTAGCTGATGCAGCTCTGACAAAAGTTTAAAATTTATATCTCTATGGTATAACTGGTCGCCGGCAGGTTTTACAGCAGCTCACATTGCAATGACAACAACAAAATAAATGACAGTGGATTAAAATAATAAGGGCAACACTGTGGTGCAGTGCTTAGCATTGTCGCCTCACAGCAAAAGGGTTCCTAGTTCGAACTTAGGGTGGGGGAGCCCTTCAGACTTTGCATGTTCTCTCTGTGTCAGTGTGGGTTTTCTCCGGGTACTCCGGCTTCCTCCCACAGTCCAAAGACATGCAGGGTAATTGGCGACTCTAAAATGGCTGTAGGTGTGAATGTGAGTGTGAATGGTTGTCTGTCTCTATGTGTGGTGACCTGTGCAGGGTGTACCCCGCCTCACGCCCAGTGTCAGCTGGGATAGGCTCTAGCCCCCTGTGACCCCCAACAGGATAAGTGGTTACAGATAATGTATGAACAAAAGGAATAAAATAAAAATAGACATCTAAAACATTATTAAACATTACATACAGTAAAATGTGTGTGAACAGAATATTGTATTGAATTTGAAAAACTTATAAGCAGTAGGACGCCATTTTTAGTAGCCGATATCATTATTGGATTTGTCGGGCCTATAAAACAGACCCAAGACCCGTCAGGTCTCTCTTCTCTGCCGGCCAAAACAGGTGGGAGAAATATATTTTTAAAAATTAGCCAACTGGGTCACAGAACAAACAAAACAACACATCCCTGGTCCATTTTGGTTCGGTTTGGTCATTTTGGACCCGTGAATACCTCTATAACAATGTAAACCAAGATACTTAAACGTTGCAAACCAGCTGGTTGAATAATCTTGGTGCAAATGTAAACACGTCCTCACATGCCCCTCGACACTATTTATATCGGTAGATCAGTATCACTACAGCAGGCAGTTGTAAAGACGAAGGCCCATCCTGGCAGTTTAGCAGCTGCTGTATATCTAATGTGTTGAATTACAGCCTCTGAGAGCTGAAATGTTCCGTCATGGATAAACTGTGGGTACACACTTGATCAGAAACATGTTTGGATAACTTTAAGTTCTTCTATTGTCATGTCATACTGTGTTATATTCTGTATTCAAAGATTTCTGAGTTTGAATTTTTAATTTCCTGTGTTGTAACCACTGGGTACAAACTGGTGATTGTGTGCCGCTCTTTTCTACTTATTTTCCACTTAGCATAAAGTATATTTACTGAGTCTTTAGCAGCACAAAAAGCTGTTTGAACTGGTTCAGCAGGGCCACGAGCAAAACGACTAATACCCAAAGCTTAAATGCTTCTTTTGGGTCTCTGAAATGCAAAGCTGGCACAGAGCGCGAGCCAGCAAACCCTCCAGCAGGATGATTAAAGCCCTGCTTGGTAGCATTACAAACCAATTTTACTGCCTATTTGACTGTCTATTTAATATTTATCTGGGCTAGTGTGTGGTGTGTGTATTACGTACAATGCAGCCCAACTAACCGACCTGAACTGGCTAAACTTTTATTAATGTGGTTTACTGTGACCATAGTAAAAAGGGGAAAAAACATAAAGAGTCCACAAACCCAATTTTGAGGCAGTCTGTGAAATGTCAGTGTGACTGACCACATCCGCTTGGTGTAGGAGACACACAGCCTCTAATAGACGGTAACTCATAATTTAGTTGGACATATCTGTCTCATCTATTTGATTAATGAGACACACAGGGTTATATCTGGCAATATGTTGCTGCCACTAATACCTGTTATAACCTGGAACATCTATTTTGTTCAGACATGGAGCTTCTCTTAGTGTGAAAAATAGCAGTCCTGCAGAGAAAGTTGCTATTCGCATCAGACAGAGAAACAAAATAAAATGTGTCAATATCGTCGAAGCATTTCAGAGATGGAGAGAAATTGTTGGTAATAGTTCAGCCTTCTGCAGCACCTACTGAATTGCAGGCTATGACATACGTCCATCAACGTCAGTATGCAAGAACAAAATGTAATCTACACTGCTGTAGTAGTGAGAGAAAAACTAAAACAAACATGAATCAAGCCCTTGTTATGGTGGCATTTACTGTATGTGTCGAGAAAGCCTGAAGAAGAGGTGGAGGATGTGGATGCGGTTGTGGCTGAGGAGAAGAGGCCAACTTGGCATGCCATTTTTGCAACTAGAGCTCTAAGTGTATTTATTAGCATCTACTGGCATTTGGCATTGCCGTGCTGATCAGTGTCATTTCATGCTACATTTCTATTGGTTTGGTAGTAGATGTAGGTCATAGCAGCAGTCACACAGTGAGATGGTCATCCCAAATTTCCGACACTGTCATTATTTTATCCCAGGCTGTCTTTCATCACAAGACTGTGGCAACGGCCATCCTTGAACCTAGGTAGGACCACCATTATAGAGCCACAGCCAAACGTTTCTTTCACATTGGTCATCTTTTGTATGGGACAGCCCAAAATCACATAGTGTATATCGGGCCTTCCACAGGTTAGACCCGGCACTGCTGCTGGCCCCCAGCCCAGTATGAGAGTGTGTTTGGGTGTTGTGCTGGCCAAATTTGAGTCACTCCAGCAGCCAATCAAAGGTCCGTATCCTGAGCTGCTGCATGCTCTGCTTCTGGGGAAACAGTCCACAGCGGCGGGGAGCGAGGCGAAGAGACCATGGGGTAGCTAGCTAGCTAATTCTTGTCTCACTTGTGGTTTGATAGAGAGTGTGGAAGGGGCAGGCAGGACAAATGAGCTGTAGGCAACTGTACAATGAAACAGGATTCAATAAATTAACGTCCGGGAAACACTGGGTTACTATATGAAGCACATGCATATGCTCGTGGTCGTCTGGCGTGTATTTTCAGAGTCTGCCTTTTGTTTTTGTTTTCCTGATTTCTGCCTACCTCAGCCGTGATATCGCAACCCGGTGTTACTACACTTTTCACCAGCCTGATAACACATATCCCATCATGTATCAGATGAGGCTGTGCAGCACTGTCAGCGTGCTTTACATTTAAAGTTTCGTTAGGTGTGAATAAAATTAGTCTAGAAACTTAAGTAGTTGCAACTGCACACACATTTCCATGCCACCATTTTGATTTTTCATAATATTTCCATGACTTAAAAATAATACATGAATATTACTAAACATAGTGCATCACATCACCCCACAGTTCAATAGTGTATCTCAGAAACTTACGCTTGAGGATGTTTCTCTGCTCCAGCTCCTCTGTGGTGGGTCTTTGGCTCAGGCGCCTGGAAATACAAAACTGTGTTCACGTACTTTATACAAGGAGCAGATAAGAACTGGTTTAAAACATTACACTGACTTCAGAAAAACAACCTGAATTATCAAAAAAACATTTGTGCAAAACATTTGTTGTTTTAAATCTTACACCCTTTTCTTGCTGTTAATCCAAAAGCTGTCTGCCTCATCTGGTAGAGAAGGCCAAACTGAACTTGAGCACAGATTTGTACTGTGCATCATTTGTACCAGTACACCGCCCACAGCTACACCAAAAAACAATTAGCACTCTGTTTTTACCCCACAGCTCCGCCAAATCTACGAGGAAACTTCACACCTAGCTGCATTTTCACAGCACACTGAGTATGGGTGTACCTGACTAGTTTGCTGCCTATCTGCTGGCGGAGCTCGTGTCTCTCCGTCTCCGAGCTCCGCGGCAGAATGTTTTTCTCCTCCAGCTCTCTCTTGCTGGGTCGGTTCCCCAGCTTGATGTTCAGGGTGTCTCGTCGGCGGATCTTCATGGCCAGAGAACCTGAGACAGAGATACAATGGGGAGAACTTGTCACAGGTTTCTGAGGGCCTTGAAACAAGCTGCATGGACAGTTGAGATGCAAATGCAGTAACGGTGGCTTATTTACATTAGGGCTGTGTATTGGCAAGAATCTGACAATGCAACGATACAACGGTTACAATTCAATATACTGCAATATATTGTGATACTGTGAGCAAAGCGATATATTGCGATTTTTTAAAACCTAATTTTAGGGAATATGTCAATAGCCTTTGGGGGTTTAAACACAACACAAATGAACAACTGCCATTAAGCTCTGCGTGTCAATTATGAATCAAAAATGAATAAGGTTTTTCAGAATCAATACAGTTTCACAAAACTTCAACAAAACATCCACCGACAACCCAGATTAGCTTCTAGCTAAAGATGTCAGCCATTTGGGAGGTAACAGAGCCGGCATGATTATCATCAGCTGCAATGACACCCTTACTGTCACTATGATAACTTGTTTTTTTTTGGTGTTTCAATGCTCAACGAAGTGATAGAGTTATAAAACACTGGTCAGTGTGATTTATACCATTAACTGCGGGTGCACATGACTATGACTTGTTGGAATGTACAACATGTGAAAGTAAAAGAGGAACCTAATGAACTTGTGACTTAGTGTACTCTAAAGAGCATGCATCAATGACTACGTTTGCGAGGCCTCATTTGAATGTAGCCTTTTCCTATTGAACTGTTATGCATCCTGTATAATTCACCAAGAATACCAATCTAAAGCATACCCAAAGTAAACTGAAAACTGTTCTTGTTCTGTGTTTAGTATCTGTACATGCATGGTCTCATTTAAAAAGGTAGCACTCTGAAATTTTTCCCCAACAGTCAGAATCACTGTAAGTGCTTCTGTCATTAAGTTACACATGTTTAAACTGAAATAAAAAGGTTGTTTAACTCGCCTGCATTTTCTCTTGAGAAAAGATGCTGCACATGTCTGTAACCGGGAGGTATGAGCTGGTAAACACAGTGTTCAGTTGTTTTTACATGTGACAGAAGCGTTTAGTGAACCCACTATGGCGGTTGTATCTTTAAATGGTCCGAATCAATCTAATCACAAGAATCTTCGCTTTCCGACAACATGCGGCATGTGTATGTGGCGTAACTATAGAAGCTGCGCGAAAAGCAAAGTGTGTAACTAACAGTGGAGTTGTCATGTATGCACTGTGCACAAACGAACTAGCCAACAGTTTGCAAAGCTGGGGTAGAGATGCATGACCAAAGGAAAAGCCCACATTGCTAGTTGGAAGGAAAAACACACCTACTTCTAAACATTATGAAAGACTTGTACAAATATCGCAGCGCCGACTTCTTAAGAAGGTGGCTGAAGGAGTGAAAAAGGGCGGCGGTGTTCGCATGGTCGAACACGTCTGCCACTGGTGGAAAAGTCATGTTTTGATGCATTTAACTTTTCCGTATTTTAATGTGATGAACGACATATTAGGGCATGATACCTGGAGTATGTACGGCTGCATGTAAATGGCAGTATTAGCGGAATATTCATTGTAATTAGTCGTGTATACAGCTTAGTAGGACTCTTATCTTTTTTGGAATAAAGTCAAAAAATTGAATATTTTGTGCATGTGAACATAGTCACTGTGTCAGATGTGAATAAAAACCTAGAGCTGCCTTTTCCTTCCAGTGTTTAGCCAGCGTTTACAAAATAAATAGCATATCCTAATGAAATGCCTCGCACACACAACCTACACATCATCACGTCACAGCTGACGATGTGTGGTCATGAGGAGCTTCTCTAAAATGTTCGCACAATATGCATGTGACTTTTTCCTGTGTGTCTCCATTACTGTGTGGTGTGTTACAAAACTCATGCCGTACTAGTTGTGTACTCGTCCTCCTCCTCTTCCTCCTCCTCATCGCGGTACAGGATTGGTCCGTCAGAGTCAGAGTCGCTAGTTTGGCTGTCTCTCGGCCTATCGGGGATCACCGTCACCTCGGCCTGCTCCGTGTTCACACTGAGACCCTGCGGCCTTTCACCATGACCCTCTGCTGACCTACAGGAAACGGTAACAAGACAGTGTGAGGGCACATATGTGTTAAATCCTGAGATCTGTAGCGCTGTATCCACAAAATGTAAATATTATATGTTATGAAAGATTTATTGTCAGTCATCATTTCAGCACTTATTGTGTGACTGTAGTAAAACTGGTGTGTAGATTTGTGATGTTCTGTAGAAGAATAAAAAAAGACAAACATAAGGTATGTTTCACCAACTCTCACATCCTTACTACATTTTTACCTCGGGCTGTTCTCCCCAGTAGACTCTCCTTCTCCTCTCTTCTTTTCCTCTTCTCCTCCCTCCCCTCCCGTCCTCCCCTTCTCCCCCTCTGTGAAGGAAGTGTCCTCCGTCGCAGTGTTGACATGGGGAGACTGGACAGCGGACTCAGAAGCCTTGTGGGTTTCCTCACCTGCAGCAGAGGCTTTGAGAGCAGATTTAGGCTCCGGAGCAGGTGGAGAAGCAGCCTGAGCTCCCTCTGTCTCACCGCCTGAGGCTTTAGATGAGGCAGACTTGGCGTCTGAGGAAAGGGGTGAGGATTTTAACTCCCCAGGCTGGCTAGGAGTCTCTGCGGGGGCCTTTTGAGATACAGAGGAGGATGTGGGAGGGTTTGATTTCCGGTTGGTCCTTGCATCGGTCTCTGCTGTAGAGTCCTTAGACGCACGAGAGCGAGGGGTGGTGGTGGTGGTGGTGGTGGTGGTGGTGGTGGCGGTGGAGGCAGGGGATGTTTTTGATGTGAGTCCTGTCTTCTTTGGATGGGAGGATTTGGCTGAGGAGACGCAGGAGCAAGAGAAAGAAAAAAATTAGACTTTTTCTTTGCTACAGGTGCTCCAGTTTCCTCCCACAGAGGACACACAGGTTACATAAACAAAACTCTCTCTGTCAGTAGGTGTCAAACTGTTTCTATCTATACATACTATGTGTTATACTGGTATTTAAAACCCAACTCCGATCACTTTTAGGGCATCTTTTTTTGCAATAAGAAAGGGGGTTTTATAAGTATACTGATTAAAAAGGATTCCTTTTGTCTCATGTTAACCCTTTAACTCCAGTATATAAGTTTTTTAGTATGTGTCGTTATGCATGTGTGGTTTTAATCCTGTGTGTCTAACTCTCGCTGTTTTTTATTGCCACTGTGGCAAAACCAATATCACAGGATCACAGTGATTTACAGAGCAGATACATATGCTGTAGCAGAAAAAAACAAACTATAATTTCAAGGGCTTCATCTTCTGATTGTTTTCATCATTTAAAGGGTAAACTATGCAGGATTTCCCTTAAAACAGTGAATAGATCTCCCAATCATCACTGACCCACTGGAAGTCACAGGATTCGCTGTATTTGTCTGCAGAGACTCTGCCTTCTGCCTGCTTTTTCTTACTTTCTCCTTATTTTCCTGTGTTCGACATGTTTTTGGGCGCAGCCCACAGGTGAGGTCTGGGCGTTACAAAAGGTAGCAATCAGGTGCCAGACATCCAATAGGAAGCTATGACAATCGGGGATGCAGTGTGGAAAAAAACGCAAATATAACAGCATAAAATGGCAAGCGGAAAAACCTGGAGTTGGCTTTCACCTTTAGAGTCGGTGGTGATACAGTTTAAAAAACATTACGAGTAATTCCTGCATAGCATACCTTTAATCCATTAAGATTCAAGATTGTTTCGTCTGTATAAACCAGTGATAATATTCCCTAATCTACAGTATGCGTTCCAATGTCCAATGTTCAGTAACACAGCCCTGTATTAGGACATGCTGGCACCCATAATATTTTAGTATTAGAGTAACCACTTCTAATCACATCTTTAATACTGCGATAAATATAGATTAGATAATACTAGATAAGGTAACACTGACTGAAGTGGTCCTTTAAATGTCTGTGAAGTGTCTTTGTGCGCTGGTGAAAACAGCCCGAGGAAAGGAATGTACTTGAAACACGAATGAAACAACTTTTGTCCCGAATCCCCCAGTGACTCAAAATGTAATACACAAAGGGCTTTCAGAAAACAGTGCATGAACATCACATGCAATATCATGGATCTGGGCTCCGTGCTGCTTTGTTTCACCATGCTGTAAGTTAAAGAACACACACACGCACGCACACACACATAGGATGAAGGGATGAAGGGTGATGATCATGCCCTAGCATCATGCCATCAATGAAAAACCACATGAGCCTGTCGGAGCTTCTTTTACGAGGGCCATGCTACACTGAACTCAGTCACACTCAGGCTCTTCCCTACACACACACACACAGAGTTGTGCTGGGCGTACAAAGCTGAAACATATTTTCACTTCTGCTTTCTCAGAAATAGATATCATAAACACTTCAATCACTTGACTGAAAATCTCTTCTCATTAATACTTTCAAGAGGGTGAGACAGGGGAACCGTATTTTGCAGCAGCTTGACTTGACTTCAAACACACTGAGGAAGTGCACATGATGCCATGGTTTACAGGTGCAAACGGCTTTACAGTGCGTCGCCATTCCTGTCAAACAGTGATTCAAGCACATTTTCATGCAAGGGAGTCACGCAGGCAGGAACACTGGCACACTGGCTTCAGTCCCAACCAGCCAAACTTACCAGTCCCGCGACTAGTGGTGTTAGTGCTCCGCGGGTTAGATTTAGCTTGAGTGGAGCTTGAGCCTGTCTTGCCTGTGGTTTTAGCAGTCTTTTTAGTTCCAGAGGCACCGTCCCTGTGCTTCGTTGCGGCTGCAGTGCCACCTGCAGGTTTGGACGAGGCGGGCAGAGTGGCACTTTGCTGTTTTTTAGCTTGAGCGTCTCGAGGTCGCACCTGCTTTGCCCGGGTGACTGGTTTAGTATCGCACCTCTCTGAGCAGATCAGTGGAGGCAGGAAGGTGTTTAGAGGTTAAAAATAGGGATTGAAAGAGATCGAGATTAAGAAGATGCACCTGTGCAAAGAGATGCACAACATGCAGACGAGCTGAGAGATACTGGAAGATAAGAAAGCTGATGATGTTTGATCTGTTAGTCTTGGGCATCAAAATGAATAATGTATACGTCTCAGGATATGACAGATAAAATGCACCCATTAATCTTCCCCATCCTCCACTGTGAAGGCATGTGTGTCCTGTTACTGTATTTGCAGTGTTTGTTGCCTGTGCCTCTCTGATTATTGACAAATGAACAAACAAATGGCTCCGGGTTCAATGCTAACAGGGTTGAGATGAGAACAGCACAACACTTAAGCAGCATCAGACAGGAGAACAGTGGCCTGTCTCCTGAGGGAGAGGGAGAGGGAGAGGGAGGCATTAGGAGATGGCTACTGCCCTGCTCAGACTGTGAATGCCTGCTGCAGGCTCATGTAATGGGAATATCTATTTGAACACATTAGACCCTGCCAGAGATCCCACAGAGGATTTAATGTCAGCCAGAAAGCTGCTGCCGATACAAATGCATCCCACGGCCGAGAGGAAAAAGACTTCAAAGCAACAAACATCTAAAAAAAGCTGCGTATAAAACATCTCTGTTGTCTACTGGACACATAACGACCACCATGGATACAGAATATCTCCATGTTCCAGAAACAAATCTATAAATTTGGAGCATATAACATTTATGTACTTGAGGCGTTAAATATTTTCTATGATTTATGATCAAACTGGAGAGAAAGAGCCTCTTTGTAACTGTTTTCTCCCGTCTTTTGCCCTCTCGTTTTTTCCCCTTAATTCTTCCTTCTGTGTGTAGGTGCAACAGTGTCTCTAATCCACAAACATTGTACCAACATCAATATCTCTGTGGTGTCTTTCACACTGCATAATTACTGCTAATCCAAAGTGTTGCCCCTGGGATAATCCTGCAGGTATTCTCGCAGTAACAATAGCCTCTTCTAATTCTGAAAATGGAAGTTAATCACATTCAAGAACAAGATAAATATCTACATAAAGTGAATTCTCATTAAAGTTTACAACACACAAGCATTAAAGTCTCAACTAGTGCACAGAGCCGAACATTAAAAACACCAAATAGATTTAGATTACAGGTCACAGAATGACAAAAGCTCATCACTGTAACTCATCCAGAAGTTACCTGTTTTCTCCCCAGTGCTGACGGGCCCTGTGGCCTGCTCTTCCTTGACTGTTTCTGGAGACTCTATGTCCACTTTGACCTCCTCTGATGTCACACTAGAGGTGGCGTGGCCGTTCAGATTCTCACTGCTTATTGTTTCATCTAGGAGAGAAAAAAAAAACAGTTCACAGTTTAGCTGAGCCTGTTTTGTAATGATCTTCAGTAACGTTCAGTCGCTCGAAAGCTGAGTCAAACTTTTGAGTTCTGCTTTTGATGGGAACACGCAAATGTAATCACATTTGACAAAGCCGAACTTAAAGTGTGAAGGACAGCGAATAACAGAAAGAAAAATAAATATAGCTGATGAAACATAAAACATTAAAGGAATACTTTGTCCGCAAAATGACTTGACATTTGTATATTGTCTACTCACCATGTGTTACCTTTAATTGGTAAAGAAAATGTGTTTCTCACAGTGAAAGAAGAATCCAAAAAGGCAAACATTCTTTCTTTTTATATTATTTTTATGGCTCTTTTGCATTTATTAGTCAGGACAGGCTGAGCGTGAAAGGGTTATAGAGTGGGAAAGACGTGCAGCAAAGGGCTGTAGGTCGGAATCAAGCCCGCAGCTGCTGCGGCAAGGACGTAGCCTTTGTACACGGGGTGCCCACTCTACCAGGTGACGTACTGAGCTTCTTCATGAATTGAAGTAGTCTGTGTTCACATTTTACAACAGCAAAACTATCCGTTTACAAACTCTTGCACAACTCCTGCAGTATTATCCAAGTCTCATTTGTCCAGTCGAGTGCCCAGTACTTCCCAAACACATGCATTTTCACTAAAACTTTATGATTTAAAAAACGCCAGTACAAACAGTCTTATGCATGGATGAGCAGCATGCCTTGGCACACATGCGTTTGAGTTTATACATACACTCAGGGCTACTTAGAAGGCTGAAACAGATGTTTTGAAATAGGCAGCACGCCTCACAGCAAGAGGTTTCCCGGTTCGAATCCACATGGGGAGGGTGGAACTCCAGGGTGGGGGAGCCGTTCTGTGCAGAGTTTGCATGTTCTCCCTGTGTCACTGTGGGTTTTCTCCGGGTACTCCAGCTTCCTCCCACAGTCCAAAGACATGCAGGTTAATTGGTGACTCTAAATTGCCCGTAGGTGTGAATGTGAGTGTGAATGGTTGTCTGTCTCTATGTGTCAGCCCTGTGATAGTCTGGTGACCTGTCCAGCCCCCCACCTGCGACCCCTAACCGGATAAGCGATTACGGAAAATGAATAAATTAATGTTTTGATATAGTTTTGCTGTTGTTTATTGCAGACCCTGATTACTTCAATGCATCAGGCATGTTTGTCTTTTTTTGATTTTTTGTTCACAGTAGAGACGTGACAAAAATAAACGTTTCTTCACAAAGTCAACATTACAAAGGGTGAGTAACTGATATACAAATGATCATTTTGGGGGTGAGTATTCCTTTAAGGAAGCAGTTAAGATGTTAGATCTCATACACGACCTACTGTAAAGTCTGTAAGTAACTAAAACGTTTTGAGCTGTCATTAAAGCTCCATCATGGGCAAATCAGGATCATTTTCAACGCTGAACGGCAGCATCATTCTTCTGTTTTTTATTCCCAAAATCATAATGTTGTTGCCTGAGATTCATCATTTGACAAATCTGATGGCGTGTGTAGATGCAGTGGCCGGGAGCTCCCTAAAAGTTCACTTCAAGTTTGCTGTTGTTTATGTACTTTGTTCTATTTTACTGTTTTATTCTATTTAATTTAATTTATACATTTTCTGCATTTCATGGTGCAACCCTGCATTGTATAATGGCTATATAACTGAACTATGAGCCTTAAACCTTGGATAAGTGGAAATAAATAAATAGGAACACGTGAATGAATGATGAGACAAACCTTGGTCAGGAATGAGAACTCCTTTCTTGATGAGCTCCTCCCTCGTTTGTCTGGTGGAGATTTTTCTCTCCAGAACTGAAGCATAAATAAAACTGAGGTCAGTGTGTGATTCAACAGGAGAATCTTATTTGGTCTAAATTTATCTGGTGTTCTTGATGCTGCAGTTAATCCACAGAGAATTCCACAAAAGCATTGCTCAATAGCTTCTTTCCTCTTCGTATTGCTAAATCGTTAACACACGTGACAGCGCCACATGTCCAGTCGCAGATGAGGAACTAAGACAAATTTGCTGTCTGGCTGCAACTTTTACTCTGAAACCTCTTGAAAATAGGGCCTTAAGGAATCAATCCGACTTGTTCACAGAGAGATCCGAACACAGCTCAGACAGAATGAGCATGCTCATAGCTGATAGCTGGATCTGAACAATGTCAAATAACAACCGGGTTCAAAAAATCTAAACATGTACATAATGGAGAGAGGATACACCTGGCAGCCATGAAGAAAAAGAGTCTCTGCTTTTCGTATTTACTTCTGTCCCTTTTTATTTCCCAGCCAACACTTCAGGAATAAATCAGTGAGAGCTAAAAACAAACTGTTCGCTCTTTTCCTTTTAAAGCTCCCCTGGGAGCAACACTGCTCCTGTTCACACTTAATGTTCTGCACACACCCAAAATGCAAGCCATGATGTTGCACAAACACGTGATTGAGGACGACACATCATCACTTGCTCATACAATGTAAGTAAAACACACACACACACACACACACGCACACACACGGCGTCCCACCTTTGGAAAGATCCTGAAACTTGTCACTGGTCTTCTTCTTCCTCCACTTCCAGGGTTTGAACAGTTTCCCTAATGACGACAGCTTGCCTCGCTGCTGCCGTGACGCATGGGCATTCTGGGTATTGGTGGCACTGTCCACCACCGCGTCGCAGCTGGCCAGTGATGATGATTTCTCCAACCCATCAACTAGAAAGACACACAAGCAGGAACACAGAACGTCAAAAATCAGAGCAGCATCATGATACAAACATAAGCGAAGGTCTGTCTTGCGATACGTGGAGATATTACACATCAATATTCTAACATGTAGACATGATGTACTCTGGTAACTGCTGATGCTGAGCTTTAAAGGTAAGTTCAGTATTTTTCAACTTGGACACTATTTTCCCATGTTTTGATGTCTAAGTGACTGATAGGGAGCAACAATTTTTGAAATTGGTCCAATATTGAGCGAGAGCCCTGCAGCTGGCAGCAAACAGGCTGCAGCGTGAACACTCGGGAGTTGTTTGCACCTTCAATTTACGTCCACTGAGAGTGCTTGTTTTTGCCACTAACAGGTTCAGATAGTTATTTTGTCTGACAACGTTACAGAAAGGATCCCTACAGAGACAGACCTTTTTTGTTCGAGGGTAAGATCCTTTTTGTTTAACTGGAAACAGCCCTGAAATCATCATCACCAAGCGCACCAGACTCCATTAAATAAACTGTGATTTTAGTGTGTATAAAGCCAGCATATTTTCACAACTTAATGGGTGAATTAAGGGTTTATTTAATCAAACCAGAGCTGGCGGTTGTTGGAACAAAGTTAAGATGAACCAAGACTGTTTTTTGAGTTTTATTTTTTTCCATTTGACTTTGAATGAAGTGTGTTTTACAATGAGAAAATTACAGTTTATTTAAATGAAGTCTGGTGGGATTGGTGATAGCGACTTTGGGGCTGTTTCTGATTAAACAAAATGGATTTTACTCTTTGACACAAAGATCCATCTCTGTAGGGATCATGTCAGATGCTTAACAATCTGAGCCTTCAGTGGCAAAAACAAACACTTTTAGTGAACATAAAATGACAGTGTTGTTGTTCCCATTAGTCCCTTTGACACAAACACATGGGAAAATGAAGTCCAGGTTAAAAACTGCCAAACTTATCCTTTAAATGAGTTCAGAAACACTAGGTCCAGTTTTGTTTTAAGCAAACAAAGCCTCTTTTTCACTTGCTCATACTGCAAAACACTGAGTAGTTTCATTATTACCCCTGTTGTTACATGGAATACAGGACAAAATCACAGGGTAACCCATGACACACAGGATTCCAGATGTTTAATAAGAGAGGGCACAATAAGAAAAGACATTTTCTGCTACACTGAAGTCCAAACGTTTGATAGTGTTTTTTTCTTACAAAATGTCTCTTTGCCCCTTATAATGACTCAACTGATATCAATCTGAGTAAACCCCTCTTTGGTTGTACTGCTCAATGCTTGCAGACGTATGCACTCGCTATATGCTGTGTTTTAAAGGATTAACATAAGTGAAAGCTAAAATAACAGACTGCAAACTATTGTCATGGATCATACCGCCAAGCACAGCTGCATCAATCACTTGTTTCACTCAGCTTTCGACAGCTAAGAAGGAATAATATTTCAAACTCTCTCTGTGCAGTATTTGCAATGTGTGTATGAGTGTGTGTCTTGGCTAGATCCCTGTCCTTCCACAGCTCCTCCTCTTCCTGTTGAAAGATTAGAAGTCCTGTGAACCCTCTGAAAGACTGCAGACAGTGTGCGGATGGTATGTGTGTTTATGTACATGTGCACGTGTGTGTGTGTGTGTGTGTGTGCGCACCATGCCAGAACCATACAGAGGAAAGAGAGGTGGTGTGTGATTCCTCAGATTCAAGCAGAGGAAGGCTTTTTGTTTTTTCAGCCACTTAACAGCCACTGCTGAATCGCTCATGCCTCCTGACTGCAGAGGGCCCTGCGGGGATCAAAGTTTATCATCTCTGTGTATAAATTTAAAGTTATCCTTCCCTGAATATCATAACTCAGCTCTCAAAATACATCAAATTAATTCCCTTAAAGGAACATCAAAGTTAATTTGGCAGCCAGGAAGTGAAGTCAGGATCTGTGGCTGGTCTGGTCGGTTAGGCAGAGTGTTAACAGCAGGTTAGCAGCTGCGCTTTAATGTCTAGGTGACTTCAAATGACTGGATTGATTCCCTTAAATTAGATTTGTTAAGCCTTACACTCCTGTAACATTGTTAGACTGCAGCAGAATCAGAGGGATCGTCTTTTTTAATCAACACGTTTTTCCATTAGCCAGATTGGCCACAACGCAACTCACACACACACACACACACACACACACACACAAAGGTACAATATGTCCCTACTGAAAACCTGCAGGGGTCCATATTGTGCTGGCCACTGAGACCAAACACCTTGCTGAGACGACTTTTATGATCAACTATGTGTTTAATTTTAATTAATTTAAAGTTACTCCACTGTATCAACATTGAGCAGACCTACAAATGTAGGATTTACAAATTGGATGTCTCATTTTGCACAAACTTAAGGGCTTTTTCTGATGTTCGAATTACTTCTACTGACTGATCAATCAGAAAACCTCTTATCCCTACAATACTGCATGGACTGGCCCCTTATGTCTGCATACATCCTGCATGTGTGTGACTCACGTTAATGTTGGAATAACAACTACAACACTGTCAAGGATGTGATGTGTGTGTGTGTGTGTGTGTGTGTGTGTGTGTGCGTGTGATTATCTTTCTCTGTGAATGCAGTGTCCCTCTAAGACATGCTGACCTGCCCACTTCTCTTCTACAAACACACACATTCTTATTATCCATGAAAATATCAGAACAAGATGGCAGGAGGAGTTTAATTCATGCACACACACACTAACAACTAAGTGACTCAGTTTTGCTGCTGCTGATGGATAAAGATTAGACAGCAAATATCAACAAAATCTCACACAGGCCAACTGATCTCAGCTCGTGTCCTTCTCAATAACCACTGACAGGAAACATAATAAAGGTTGGTCGAAAGGAAACAGTGCAGCGTTTTCTTAATTCTATTTAGGAGGCTTATGCAGCAACGTGGTCAGCAGAAAAACAGCTGAGAACACACTCAGCAAAGTTGGCCAGATGATCCAGATGTTCAGCACATTCATAAGGATTCATTAGTTAGGTAGCCATTTGCCCAGCAGCACCAATGCCAGTGTTTCTCATCTGGCACATCTGATGGAGCTAATCTGTATCTTTGCCTTCAGCTTAATTGGAAACAATCAATACCATGTTGATTGTCTGGCTCTCTGGCAGACTGTTGATGCCAGTTACTAGATGTTGTTGTTGGCCATCTGGTGCTCAGTATGCATCAGTGATGGACATGAGCTGAAAGTAATGAGCATAAAGTGCCTCTGACTGCTGCTGCATGGTGATGGCAGATAAATGTATAGATTAAGTTGAGGCTAGAGCAGGGGAGCCAAAACCGGCCCGCCAAAGGGTCTAATCCAGCCTGCTGGATGTCTCTGCACACCTGATATATATTGATGCACTTCATGCACACGTCAGGAGCAAGTCAAACAGTAGCCCCTTTAATACAGCCTGTTCAAGATGGGAATGACGTTATTCCACTGTGTCGAAAAGGTACAGCTGTAAATGAGAAGAGAGAGTTGTATTGCCTGTGAGCTGGCAGCAGAGGTAGCAGCAGTGCCAAATCAACAACTGTGTACAAGGGACAGCCGTCAGGACGGGACCATCACGGGACAGGTGTGACATTTTGACAAAGCGTTACGTGTGCGACCCACCACCAGAAGATTTAAAAAGCAGCCTGTAGCAGTTAGCAGCTAACTCAAAGAACACCAGCAACTGAAAATGTCTACAGATGGTAAGACAATGAGGTTTTGAGGACTGATGAGCTCCTCACCCTCTAAGCAGAGGACAAAATCAACCACAATACAACAGGAACAGCAAATGACTGCACTGAACTTCAGAACTGATTTTAAGATTCTTTTAATAACTTTTGAATCTCAACATGGTTTAGCGCCAAGTTATAGAGCTGAGCTTGTGACTACCTACGCTCCAAGTCGTGATCTGAGATACTCAAGTCTACAATCACTAGCCGTCCCTAGGTCAAGGCTGGTAACTAGAGCTTTTACCATCAAGGCCCCGAGGCTCTGGAGGTCTCTGTCTGAGGAGATTAGGTTGGCTAGCACCTTACCCGTTCATAAATCATTGCTTAAAACATATTTTTAAAAGGAAAGCTTTCCCTTTTAATGTCTGATTTGTACTTTTGTGATTTGTAACTTTTGTGTTTCATTTCCTTTGTATTGTTTTGTCTTATTTCTATGCACTTTCTGAAGCACTTTGTAACCTTGTTTAGATAAGTGCTATACAAATAAATTTTATTATTATTATCATTATTATTATAATAAAATATTATTATTTCTGTGTTAGGCCATATTTAGTGTTTTGAAAGCACTGCCTAACGTGAATGTTAAGCCTATGTCACACGAGAGACCGAAGTTGTTGTGTTAAAAGTCATGCCAGTCACGCCTCTTTCGCTTCCAGAATGTTTAGCATGCTAACTAAAATCACAAACTGGGGCGACATGATGCTGATGCTGGCTGGTTCTGTGTAAAAAAGCAAAGGTGGCATAATGAGGGGACTTCGTAGTGGCCCTAATGTGCATTCCTTGTGTAAAAAGGGCTAAAGAGTAACCTACTTCATGTACAATGCCGCTTAAAAGGCTTTTCCTAAAAACTATGAATACTTAATGTGGTGATATTAAAAGATATTGAAAACTGTGCAAAATATTGTCCATCAGCAGCTTCGGTACAAAAGAATCTGTCTCAGACTTCTATCTGTAAAACTCCTATAGCTAAGGCACTGCAAAACCTTTGATTTGTTAATGGTTTATGAGACAGGGGATAACTTGCTAACCTGCTTCCTAAATAGCTCCCACTTTAGTGTGATGTGGTGATGCCAGCATTGCTGCACAGGAGTGGGATTGTATGGAAAAATGCACATGTAATGACAGCGAGTGGCAGACTGACTGAATGTGGAAAAAGTGAGACATGCTGTTGAAATCGCACTTATTTTTCTCAAGACACCTCGAGCTGTTCACCATCTGTTTTATAAATGGATGAGCATTTTCAGAATGCACTTCTTTACACTAA